TCCCGTGGTGTCCCGTTGAGTGAAATCAATAGAGAGATCGATTAAGTCAGATGTTGGTTCCCCCCCTCTTCCCCCCCCCCCCCACAACCTCCTTATCACCCGAAGGGTGGTCGTATAGGCACATATATGCATACACACAAGAATGCACAATGGCCTTCGGTTCATCCCGTGATCCTGCCTGACTTTGGCTTGTGGGTGAAAGGCGTGTTTGATGCCTCTTCGGGTCTCATAGGATGCTCGTTGGAGGCCTTGAGAATTGATGAATTTAGCCGCTCTGGGCCTTACTGCGGGGTCCTCTTAGTGCCCTCTTGGGCCGTTTTAGGGCCCTCTTGGGCCGTCCTGAGGCGCACTTAGGCCGTCTTGGAGGGCCTTGGGCCATCTTGGGGCTGTGTCGGGGCCTTCTTGGTCCCTCTTGGGGACCGCCTGTAACCCTCTTGGGGCTTCGTGGGAGCCTCGTGGGGCCCTCCTTGGGCCCTCCTTGGGCCGTCTTGGGGCTCTCTTGGGTCGTCTCGTGGCCTTCTTGGGCCGTCTTGAGACACTCCTGTGCGCCTCTTGGGCCGATCGTGGAGGCCCTCAAAGCCGAGAAAAGGCGAGAACCCACAAATGCTTCAAATGCCCAAGGAGTATACAACCGAAAATACTACCAAGAAGACTATGATTTAAGATATCTGGGCCAGCTGAGTTTCTTAAAACAATCATGTGTACATTTATGTTGATAACGCTGAGGGAGCGAACGTGCGAGAAACTGGGCCAGCTTTCTGGCAAGTTGGTCAAGAAACCCTGGCCCAGCTTCTCGGCAGGAGGCTTCTTCATCAGATGCTTGACTGTATGTATTATTTCCCTCTCTCGCCCCGACGCGCGAGCGGGTTGCCTCTGCCGCGCCGCGACGGAAAAGTATGTGTCGTTTGCCTCCGCAGGCCCTATTGGAGGTCCTCGTGGGGGCCTCTTGGGCCATCCTGGGGGCCTTTTGGGGCCGTCTTAGGGCCATCTTGGCCCCTCTTGGAGCGCTCTTGGGCCGTCTTTGGGCCCCTCGGGCCTCTCTTGAGCCGTCTTGGAGGTGTCTTAAGCCGCCTTGGGGGCCTCGTGGGGGTCTCTTCAGCCAATCTTCCAGTCTCTCCGGCTGAGAAAGCTGCTAGCTTGACCCCCGGAGGGCGTGTTAGAACCTGGGCTGGCACGGGAACGGAAAGAGCGGTTCCGTGGGGCCTCCCCGAGAGTGCTCATGATGGCGCCGTCTGGTCTTGGGAGCCTTGGCGTTTGGAAGTTTTTGGCGCGATTTTTAGCCCTTGGGAGCCTTGGTATTGAGAGCTTTTCACTCCACCATTCGCTCTTGGGAGTCTTGGTGTTCAGAGCTCTGTACTTGACCTTTCGCTCTTGTGGACCTTGGCGCTCAGAGCTCTTCGTATCATCGGGAGCTCTGGTGAGCCCTGGTGTCAACATATTCTTACGTCACCGACTCTTCTTGAAAGGGGTGCTCCGTCACCTGGAGCTCTGGCGTTGGAGTGAATGTGTTAGTCATCGATAGTACTGGGAGCCTTGGCGTTCGAAGTGTTCCACGTCACTGTTCGCTCTTGGAAGCCTTGCTATTCAGAGATGCTGCCGTCACTGTGAGCTCTGGGGAGCCTTGATGTTCAAAGCTTGTAGAATCATCGCTCGTTATTGGGAGCCTCCGCGTTGTCATTGTCCGCTCTTGGGAGCGTGGGCGTTCAAAGCTTTTTACATCACAGTGAGCTCTTGGGGGCCTTGGTGATCAGAGCATTTATGTCACTGTTCACTATTGGGAGCATCCGCGTTAAAAGTTTGTCACGTCGCTGTTCGCTCTTGGGGGCCTCTCGAGAGGCTCTCAGGAGTATCCTGAGGACCTCTCAGGGGACCTCTTGGGAGTGTTCTGGGCCGTTTTGTGGCCCTCTGGAGCCGTCATGGGGCCCTCTTGGACCGTATTGGGGACTTGTCGTGAAGGCCTCTTGGAGGCCTCTAGGACCTCTTGGCGTCCTTGGAGGCCTCCTTGGACCTCTGGGCAATTTGGGCCACATCTTGGGCCGCCCGAGGGCGCCCTTGGACCGTCCTGGGGCCCCCAAAAAGAAACCCAATGAGAAACCGAAAACCAAAGAAATACGAATGTTTGTGGCCTTCTCCGAAGGAATGCATATGTTTGTTGCCTTCTCTGGGCCACTTGGGGGTCCTCTTGGTAGCCTCTTGGGGCGTCTTGGGGACCTCCTGGGCCGTGACGAGGCTATCAGGAGCCCTCAGGGGGCGCTCTTGCGCCAGTTTCGGATCCTCTCGGGTCTCTCTGAGGCCATCCAAGGGACATCTTTGGCGTCTTGGGAACTATTCGGGCCGTCTTGAAGCCTCCTGGGCCGAAAAAGCCCCCAGCATGGCCCCCGGAAGGCGTGTTAGAACAACAGTGGAAGGCAACCGAGCACTGGAGAGCGTCGTGGCCTTGGCGTGGAAAGGTTTTCACATGACTGTGCGCTCTTGGGAACTTTGACGTTCAAAGCTGTGTACGTCTCTGCGAACTCTGGGGAGATTTGGAGATCCTAGCTTTTTGTGTCAACGTTGGCTCCTGAAGTTGCGTCGTTGAAGGTCTCGGGGGGCCTCTTGAGGGGCTCTGGGAGGCATCTTGAAGGCCTCTTGCGGTCCTCTTGGGGCGCTTTTCGGCAATTTTCGGTCCCTCTTGGGCCGTTTTGGGGCCCTCTTGGGCCGTCCCGGGGCCCTCTTGGACCGTCCTGAAGGGCTTGGGCCCGCTTGGGGTGCTCTTGGGCCCCTCTGGGGAGCCTCCTGTGGCCCCCTTGGGGCTCTCATGGGAGCCGCTTGAGGCTCTGTGGGGCCCTCCTTGTGCCGTCTTGGGGCTCTCTTGGGTCGTCTTCAGGCGCTCCTAGGCCGTTTTGAAGCCCTCGTGGGGGCCTCTGGGCGATCTCGGAAGCCTCCATGGCCGTCTTTGGCTGTCGAACGGCGGCGGCGGGCGGAAGCAGGGCGTCGTGGGAGAGCGGGTCATGATGGAAGCCTCCGGGACACGGCAGGAAGAGGTGAAGCCCACGGTCGCATCGCAGCTCGGAGGGCGAGTTGTTACAACGGCGGCGACACAACAACGGCCAAATCCGTTCAGAATCGGTCCTGGTCTCCTCGAAAGGTTCGAACGCCGATGTTTTCCTAACTGCTTCTAGCCGCGGCAGCGAAGCGGCCTCCGAAAACCCAACAGGCAGCTGGAGGCTCGGAGAGGCACCCGGAGGGCGTCTTGGAGACCTCTCGGCGGTTTTTTCGGGGCCGCTTTGGGGGCCCTCTGGGGCCGTCTTGGGAGGAGGAGGAGGAGGAGGAGGAGGAGGAGGAGGAGGAGGAGGAGGAGGAGGAGGAGCAGGAGGCTCTCCTGGGAGCCTCCTGGGGCCTCTGTGGGGCACTCCTTGGCCCGTCGTGGGCAGTCCTGAAGCTCGTGGGATGCTCTCGGGCCCTCCAGGGA